CAACACTACACAACACTACACAACACTACACTGCACTACTCTGCACTGCACTACACAACACTACACAACACTACACTGCACTACTCTGCACTACACTACACTACACTACACTACACTACATTGCACTACATTGCACTACAGTGTAATTATTTATACAAGATATATTATAACACACTCACTCACCACAGTGTTCACCAGCCACACCAATATCGCAATGCTGCCAAGGTATAGAGGGTGTTTTTGTGTAACACCACGCAGACGCTTTCCCATCAGGATTTCGACAGAAGTTGTGGTCTCCAACACCTGAGCCAGGATAGTTTGATGGAGTATATACATGTACATGAGGGCTCTGTGACGTCCACATTTGACAACCATAACCATTGACAGTAGTGTTAACTGTTCCCCGGTAATCCCCACCATCAGCATCTGCGAAACACTCTGATACCTCTGTGAAAGTGAGATTGATGATTATCATTCGTTCACAACTCACACACGACTTCAATAAGAAGTATTGAGTAATCCACGCAATATACGACAGAACTTGAATGTACATTTTACACATCGATAATAACCAATTGACTGGCCATACCTGGAACAATCGTAGTAGCGACCATTGTTGTATTTATATTTGGAGCCACTGTGGTTACACCTGATAAAACATAACAAATTGATTCGCATTTTACCCCGAGAGAAGCCAACTACACTAATCTAATAATTACTTCAATGTTAATTGTGTACGCAATACATTTATATTACCGGTATCACTTGAGCGGAGCAAATCGACCACTTGGCGTCACAATTGGTGGTTAAAGTTAGTGTACAGTAATAATATTCTAATTGTTTTACCGTTAAGCACTGTGTATTAACAACGCTTCTGTTTATATAAGAACTAGTTTAGACCTCAACGGTTATTGGAGCTAGCATTTTCAGCAGTTAGCATTTTAATTCCATGCAGAATCAGTGCATACCGAAACCCAATCGTGTAAAAACAGGTAAATCAGCTTGGAAAAGAATATAGTTCTGGCAAACCCAATTTGTAAGTGTACACCGAACCTCAGACAAAACATGCCTGCCCTCCGTGTCTGGCTGAAGTGTGGCGATAAGTTTAAAATGTAATTTTAAACATTGTTGCACGATTGTAAACATCGCGCAGTGCTTGTCGGGAAACAATTATAATCATAATAATTATTAATTTACGTTCATCATAACTATATTTTGTGACTACGCCGGGAGTCGTTTCACTTCGCTCACGTGTTACCAGTAGTAAGTGTATCTGAAGCGACATTTACAAGCGATAAGGAAGAATGCATTTTGATATGATATCATCAGATACGTACTGCAATTTTCGCGGGGGTCTGATACTTCACAGAAGTCCCATCTCAGAGACATGTGATTGACATAGCACCATGGAGTGAAATCGTTGTCTGGATTCCTACAGTAATTATGATCACCGAGACCAGCTCCCGGGAAGTTTTCCGGGGTTACCCAAGATCGGTCATCAAGCTCATCCCAATTACGGCAGTCATAACCATTTGCTGAAGTGTTGACCATTCCACGATAGTCCCTTCCTCTCAGGTCTTCGTAACATTCCGTGAAATCTGTGGGTAACATTGACAAAATATTGTAATTATGCATAGTCTAAATTACAATTATAATGTAGCATGCTAATAACTATGTTATCGCGAAACAACATACAAACACAAACATATAAACAAACAAATAAGTCAATAAATTGTGCCATATAATATACCTTGCTCCTCATTAGTTTTTTTCGTTGCAATTCTTTCCTCGATTATTATAGCTACTGCAGCAATAAATACTAGCAAAAAGAATACAGCCAAAAATATAGGGAAGAACCCATCAGGTACCGTTCTCTGTAATAAAAGACAACGAAAAGATGACTTCACCAAACATGCTCCCACGCTTACATTTTTTTGCTGAGTGTGATATGTACATACTAATGAAAATAGGTAGATGTATTATTCTCGACTACTCAAGAAAGCGACCAAGCCGTACGTACGTTCGTATGTTCTAAGAACGTGTTTTGGAAAATAATTGTTCCTTATGACATGTTTTTGTGACCACATATTATATCTGCAGGACATTCATTTGACATAAATCAATCAACAGCTTACCTATTTACATTATGTATTCTGACTGAACAAT